GCCATGTGGGTGCTGGGAATTGAACCTGGGTCCTCTGCAAGAGCAGTCAGTGCTCTCAACCACTGAGCCATCTCTCCAGCCCCTATTTTTTTAATTTTTAATTATCATTATTTTGTGTGCATGATAATTGTGCATGGGTGTGCATGCCACAGGGTATGTGTGGAAGTCAGAGGACAACTTTGTGGAGTCGGTTCACTCCTTCCACTTTAACAGGGGGTCCAGAGATTGAACTCAAAGTCCCTTGCTTGTGGACCCTACCCTGACTGGCCCAGGGCTACATGAATAAATTATACTCCTTTCTCGTGTCTTCTGGGATTGAAATGCTATTTAAAATGCTAGCCAGACCTGGTGGGAGAACTACAGCTCAAGCAAGGTGATCACAATGAGCAGGAAACAGGAGGAGACTTGGCCAGGGACCACAAATATCCCCCCCTGAGTCACTAGTAAGGGGACAGGAAGGCATTAGTTATTGCATAACACTAATTAGCCCCTTTTCCCTCCATCTTTTGTTCCATCACAAATCTTGATGAGGTTCTGAATCCCATTAAAAAATGACATGATTTGCTAACCATCAGTTCTCTGGGAACTGATTCTCAAGTAGAAACTTAAGGTTGGATGTTTTCTGGAAGGCAAGCAGAAGCAAAGGGGATGTTGAACTCTCATGCAGCTACAGTGGAGGCCTCAGAGAACCTGCTTTAGCGCTGGGGCGGACACTCTGAATTGTCTGCCATTGAGTCAAGGAACAGCAACAGAATTGTGCCCTTGCATTATTTTCTGTCAAGGATAGAATATGGATTTGGTTGAAGCAGGGTAGGCTGCTGCCTCCACCTTTGCATTCACTGTGAGCTGCCATATGCCAGCATGGCCAATACTTCTGTCTGAAGGAACTCTCAGTAGAAGTGGAAGCCCACATAATTCCCTGGGTTTTGACCTTACTACCCACACTGAAAGTATAAGCAGTGAACTCTGATTCTAAGGCAGTTAGTAGTTTTAAACATGGATTCTGGGGCTGGAGCAATGGCTTAGTGGTTAAGAGTACTGACTGCTCTTGCAGAGGACAGGGGTTCAGTTTCCAGCAACTACTTGGTGGCTAACAACCATCCATAACTCCAGTTCCAAGGGATCAGACACTCTCTTATGGCCTCCACGAGCAATGCACAAATATGATACATTTACATACATGCAGGTAAAACATACACACATAAATAAATCCAAAAAAATTTTTTAAAGCATGAGTTCTGGAGAGAATAAATAATTATGATCATTTGCCATTCACTACTATAAGTTTTCTCCTGAAAAAAAAAAAACTGAAAAGAAAAATTTAGAACTAGATCTGGATGTATTGACTCATGCTTATAATCCTAGCACTTGAGAGGTCAAATCAGGAGGATCAGAAGTTCAGGTTTATCCTCAGCTACAAAGTGAGTTCAAGGCCAGCCTAGGGTATCAGAAACTATCTAAAAAAATATTTTTATGGAATTTTTCGCTGTTAGAGAACAAGTTTCCCCTGGAGTTTTGGCTAGATTGTGATGCTGCAAAGCCCAGAATAGAAAGCATACTTTGCTGTCATTAAGCTGATTCATATGCCAGCTACTTAAGTGGGCCCCACCACGCAAAATGTCCATCTATCCATCCTGTCTTACCAGTGAAGATACAAAATAATTACTTTCCCAAAGCTACTGAACACTTGATGGGCTCTCCTACAGATACAGACCTTTAAATTGGTCTATAAATTGTGGGATGTTCATATATACCTAAATCTCATGGTTTATCTAGAATGAGGGCCACAAAAATAAGAAGTTAAAAACTGGAAAAGCCATCCTAGGCCTGCCAAGATGTCATAGTTGATTTCAAAAAGTAGAAACATTTTATTAGACCTCATAATTACTGTTTTGCTCTCAGAATAAATACTTTATATTTTGAAATAGTGAAACCTAACATAGCATTTTGGTTCTAGCAATAGTTGATTGTCCAGTGTGTAATGATAAGTAATGTATTATGGAGTTCAGGTATCTTGTAGCTCTTATAGGGAAGAAAGATGGCTTCCCCTTTGAGTATCATTGGCTCAAACAGTGTTGCAGAAACATGATTGGACCCTCTAAATGAGATTGGGTCTGATCTCTGCCAGGTGACCATATTTATGTGAAGATATAAGGGGAAACTTTTAAATGTGGCTGACATCCTCAATTTGTATCTGGGAAAAGTTCTGGGGTCTTTAATGAGCTCTCTGGTCTTTTAGAGTTTTGATGTATATGTAGTCCAGGCTGGCCTGGAACTCATGAGAAGATAAGCACCCTGCCTTATCTTCTCAAGTGCTGGCATTACAGGTGTATGCTACTAGAACCACCATCATTATTTAATGGATGCTTCTCATTTGGAGGAGTTTGTCACTTATAATTATGGCATGCTTCATGCCATTTCTATTTGCCTTTCTGTCACAGATCACTGGGCAGTGACAGATAGTTAAGGGGTACCCCTTTATAGAAAGCTAAGGGTAGGAGCAACAGAGATCCAGGGATGAATTGGAAACAAGCTGTCCCTGTGGAATTTGTGGTCTATAAAAATGATGAAATGCTTGAAATTGTGGTACAAGGAGAGAACCACGGATAAACCAGATGAGTATCTAGACAATGGAAAGGTGTGTTGGCCTTTGACCATTTGAGTTATGGAGATGATTATCAACACATTAAGATGCCATCCTATGTAGGGTAAACAATAGGCAGAAGATGTCACTGGGAAACATTAACTTTATTAGTGGTACAGTTAATTACTTAGCTGAGCATAGAGAATGCAGAAGAGACTCAAAGGAAATAAAGTTGGTCCTGACCGCTCAAGGCACGATGATACTGCAGCTGTCCAAGTGCTTCTTTGGACAGTGTGTGGCTCTTGAATGTTCTTGAGAATTGGTCAGTCAGGTTATGGGGATATCAGCCTGGCCAGAGCTGAAGAGACCAGCTTGGGTATTGGTAATCCTGAACACAATACTCCTTCCCTTCCCTGGGAGCTGGGGTAACAGTGATGTGATTGGAGTAGTGGGAATGCACTAACAGCTGTTGAGTGGCAATGACTGAAAGGCTAAGACAGCGACTAGAGGCCAAGTCAAGGGAGGGGATCAGAGCATGATAACCTCTGATACCAGCAGACCGTGGTGCCATTTGAGAAGTCAGGAAGACAAGCCCAATGAACGCCAGTAGGAAAGCAGTGACCACAAGCCTGGACTTTGGAGACAGACAGTCTGCATTTGTAGCTGACTCATGAAACCATGAGCTGAGATCACCTTGCCTGCTCAAGGGGGAGAATAGTTGTGGCTATTTCAGTAGACTATTGTGAAGATCTAGTAAGGCCTAGGCCACCAAGCACTGGCTAAATGTTAATTTCTACAGTAGGATAATGAAGTCCAACCAGATTGCAGGCAAAAAGGGCAGGGCAGGGAGACCTTTTCCAGAGGGCAATGGAAGGATTTTTCTGGAAGCCCGCAGCATGTTCAGGAAGACTCAAACCTCTGAGTGTTTCAACTCTCACCCTGGGGGGTCTCACCTCAGGATGGGAACTGGGTCCTTTGAAGATGAGACAGTGGCTTGCACGGTGTAAAACTGGAAGCCCTCCCCTGTTTCTCCATGATGACATCTCCCCTCTTGACTTAGGAGCAGGGGTTTTTCATCCTCGCTGCCCTAGCCTTTGTGTGTGAATATCTCCTACCAGAACAATTACTGGCATTCCAGAAAGAGCCAAGTCACAACTTTGGTAGTTTGTCCTGCCTCTAAAGAAGTAAGTCATAGGAATAATGCCAGTAATGATAGAGATTGTAAATAGGTGTATGCTGATTTTGTGAAGATTTTATCCAAAGTTTCCTCGTAACCTTATTTTTGTCATCTTCATAAAGCACAATGAGTATAAACCATGTGACTTTTTCAAAAACTAAAATTAGTTGTTCTCCTTAAATCTGTCCTTTCTGTACTAACTAGTAAAAGCCTGTATAATTTTAGAATCTCAATGCTGAGTAACAATTTTGAAAAGCACATTCTGACGTTTGGTCACTGTGGTAGCTGGATGAACTTAAATCCTCCTTCAAGGAGCTCTGTGTGTATTCCAAACTTAAAATTGTCTCCTACTTAAAAATAGGCTGTGTTCGAAAGTTCTTTTGAAAATAGTTTTAAAATGCATTTTCCATACAGCTGAAGTTAGTTTTGACTGGATTGTTGGCAAAGTTGCAAGCTCAATTTACATATATGTATATATATTTATATATACATAAATCTATTCATCCATGCATCCAACCATGTATCCATCCATCCAAATCAGAGTACCAGAAATACCCTTTAATAAAAGTCAGCCCTTCCAAGTGGAAGTGTTGGATCTGTAATACCTCAGATCAGCTGCCTGGTGAGTACTCAATAGCTGTTGGCCCAGTGCTCATTCTGAAGGCTCAGGTTGAATGGAATGGCCTTAACCTTGAAGGTGAAAGTAGGATGTTAGGAGGCAAGTGTTCAGTCTCCAAGCTGCAGGAGAGTGGCCCATGCACCATATAAGCCAGCCTTGCTGGTTGCATGTTGTCCCATGCCTAACATCTGGCTGCCATCACTGTACCTTCCCCATGCAGGAAATCCCCCCCCCCTTTCTAAGGCAGGGCTTGATTTGATTGATGCTCCTGGCAGATCTTGTGCAGATGGGTAGTGTGGGAGTTTGAATAGGAATGTTCCCCCAAAGCGCCAACTAAGTATGTGGACATTTTGTCTGAATTGGTGGTACTGTTTTGGGAGTTTTTAGGAAGTGTGGCCTTGGTGGAGGAGGCACATCACCATGGATAGGCTTTGAAAGTTCTTAAGTCTTGCCGGATTTCCAGTTGCTCTCTGCTTCCTGTGCTTGCTTGAAGATATGATTGCTCAGCTTTTTGCTTTGGCCACCTCTGCCACCATGCCTCCCCTGCCATTATGGACTCTAATCCTTCTGGAACCATTGTAAGACAAATAAACTTTTCCTTCTATAAGTTGCCTTGGTCACTGTGTTTTATCACAGCAACAGAAAAGTAACTGATACAGGCAGCATTTCTTAGAAAAAAGTTTCCTGGAGATCTCATTTCCTTGACTTCAGCTGCCTTTCTAGGATGAGATGGGAGCAGCCCTCTGCACTGCACCCATCTGTGGAGCCAGGGTGTTTCCCAGCCTGTAGCTTCACTCTGGAGCTCTCCAGGAGCAGAGCTGCGCCTTGAAACGTGATCTGAGGACATAGACATGTGTAAGAATGGTCTCAGTCTTGTTGCTTCCTGCCACTAGCCCCACACTCATACTTTGTTGGTCTTTCATCTTGAGTCCCTTTTTCTTAGCCAGCAGCTACTGAGTCTCACCGGGTAGCCAGGCATGGATGTATGATATACAGATCTAATACTGCAACTCACTTCCAAGGTCTGGCTTTTATTTAAGAGTATTTTTGCTACTCTATTTTAGATAGATGGGTAAGTGGAAAGAACTTTTGAAGTTGTGCCCCGTGTATTAGGCAAGATCAATGCAGGGCTGGAGAGATGGCTCAGTGGTTAGCAATGCTGGCTGCTCTTTTAGAGGACCTGAGTTCTGTTTCCAGCAGCTAACAACCCTCTTTAACTCCAGTTCCAGGGTATTTGACACCCTCTTCTGGCCTCCGCAAACATTGCATGACACAGTAGCACTTAAAACATTTGCAGGCAAAACTCATACACATAAAATAAAAATAAATATAATTTTAGCCAGGCGTGGTGGCACACGCTTTTAATCCCAGCACTTGGGAGGCAGAGGCAGGCGGATCCTTGTGAGTTCAAGGCCAGCCTGATCTACATAGGGGGTTCAGGTCAGCTGGGACTAAAGGGGGACCCTGTCTCAAAAAGACCAAAAAAAAAAAAAAAAAGATTAAAAAGGAGATTAACAAGTGAGAAATTTGAAGTTAGTAGAAAATATAAAACAGTAAAAATTGAAGAGTTCATGAAAAAGTGACCAGTTTTAACTGCATTAGCAAGCATGATGACCCATGCTTATAATCCCAGCATTTAGGAGAAGTTGTTCAATTCAAGGTCATCTTTGTCTACATAGAGAATTCAAGGCCAGCTGGGCTACATAAGACACTGTCTCAAAACAAGGAATAAACAAATTAATTAATTAAAAACTGCTGCCTCAATATTTTTCCCAGTAAATCTTTGCTATTTATATAAAATATGTACATGTATGTATAGTATTTTATATAAACGTGTATATGTATATACACAGTTTGAAAGGAAACTATACTGTATTTCCATTGATCCTTTTTTTCCTCATAACAGAACAGACATTCTCATCACACGTACTGGAACCAATAGAAGAGCTTTCGTCAGAGGAGGAAAAAGGTAACAAAGACATCAGAGCTGACTTATTTATGTGCTGACATGCCAACCTTGAAAGTATGAGCCTATGGTGTCATGCTATACAAAATTAGGAAAAATATTTAGGCTTGGATTATATTTTCAACCTACATATAGTATTTTTTTATCCTTTTCCCTGATATTCTATTCTTTGCATTATTATGCAGTATGTTAATAAGAAATTTCCTGTGTCAGAGACCTTAAAAGCAAAAAAATT